TCTTTTGGAAGGCCAAACAAAGTATTTTCGCTTTCACAACGAAACACACGGCATGCTAGAGTGAGCGGAGGCCGGTGAGCTTGAGAACGGCGCGGACGGCGGGCTTGCGGCAACCACATGTGACGACCCCGGGCTGGACTCCGCTTTGTCCACGGTGAAAGTCGATCCGGCGATCCACAGCGTGAAGTTGATGTATTTCCTCAGCGACTGGCATGGATCAGCTCTAGGCATGACGAAGCGAATATTGTCCTCTTTCGGAAGACCAAACAAAGTAGTTTTGCTTTCATAACGAGAAACACCGCGCCTTCACGGCATGGCGGCGGCGGCAACAACAATACTACAGCGAGAATAAAAGTTACGCCTTCTTTCTTTGCGTGAACATTTGGGCGACGTTATGCAAATCTTCCCACATAGTGATGTAGACATGTGGGGGCGTGTTAGAACGAGCCATTTTAGGTAGGCGTGGTTGACTCTTAACTTTTATAAAGAATATCTCTTTGGATTTGAGACTTTAGTCTTTGCAACTTTACAGATCTTCTTTATGCACCAAGAGCTTGTAATACTCCAAAGAGAAAGGAACAATTGAAATCGCATCATATGACCCATTTAATGTACTATGAACTCCAAGAAACACCGGCCATTCTCAAGTATAAAGGGCTTTCCTTGCCATTAATGCTTGGGTAACCCCTTATTTACATTGTTCACGTCTGTGGTGCATTACGGCTCCGATACAGCCACTCTAGACAATGCTTGTGTTTATATCAGCCACACCGCTGCACTTTTTTTGGAAGTGTCCCAGAAGCGACTGTCACCTTCACTTCACTTCACCAAAGATACATGCATAGGTCTCCTTCGATTAAGGAAGCTGAACTCCCTCCCAACCTTGCCCCTCCTCCCCTCTTTTGCCCCATGCACCACTGAACTCTGACCCTCTACCACTCTAGACAATGCTTGTGTTTATATCAGCCACACCGCTGCACTTTTTTTTGGAAGTGTCCCAGAAGCGACTGTCACCTTCACTTCACTTCACCAAAGATACATGCATAGGTCTCCTTCAATTAAGGAAGCTGAACTCCCTCCTCCCCTCTTTTGCCCCATGCACCACTGAACTCTGACCCTCTGATGGACTCTCCCACCCCCCTCCCAAATACACACACACACTGTCACTTTAATCAGTCTGAATAAGCTCTTTTGCACTACAATCATTATATGTGCACTGTTGCACTATCTGCCATGCGCCTTGTGCTGCTTTATATATATTTTTACATTTTACCTTATTTGTATAATTGTATAGTTGTATTTTATATTTAAATCTGTATTTATGTTCTACTGTTAGTGTTATCTGTATGCATCAAGGGTCTGAGAGTAACTCAATTTCAATTCTCTGTGTGTATGTGCTGTACATGTGGAAGAATTGACAATAAAGCAGACTTGACTTGACTTAAAAATAACGGTTAGTGTGGTGGCTGCAATTTATCTGAACCTACAAACATCTGTCGCCATGACTTATTGCGAGAGGAAAAAAAATTAAATTTTAGTCACATAACATCGGTTAATGGAAACACTGTCAATTGGCAATAGGTTTTTTATTGGCATAAAATATCGCAAAAGTTTTGCTCAGATTTGCGATGGAAACCTGACTACTGTCCACAGCCATGCGCTCATCCTGTCTCACTCTAACTTGTCTGAAGACCATCACTGTCCATAGCCACATGCTCATTCTGTCTCACTCTCCTGCTGTCTGGAGACCATCACTGTCCATAGACACACTCTCAACCTGTCTCACTGTCCTTTTGTCCACAGCCATATGTTCATCCTCTCTTACTGTCCTGTCTGGAGACAATCATTGTCAGTAACCCCATGCTCATCTTTTCTCACTCTTTTGTTGTCTGCAGACGTCAGTGTCCACAGGACCTAATACTGTAGAGGACCTAATACTGAGCCCTGTGGGACTCCATACTTCTGTTGGGTTGAATATCTTGCCATTAACACAAACAAACTGGTTGTATTGGTAGAATAGGCGATTAGATAGGTAGAACCTAAACCATACTAATGCCTGCCCACAAATGCCAGCATAATTCTCAAGCTTATCCAGGAGAATGTTATGGTTATAGTGTCAAAGGCAGCACTAAGATCTAATAGCACCTGAAGGGAGATGCTTGTATTATCTGACCATGGCTGAAAGTCATTTTTATGACTTGTATGAAGAAAAAGATAAATCCATAAAGTGCAAATCATCTCTGAGAATATAAATCAATACACACTGCAAAAATGCCAAATGTATAAAAAGTGCATGCGGCATAATAACAAACAAATTGCACTTGAAAGTAAATTAAAAGTTACAGTGTTTAATCAGAGAAATGGCGTGTCATTACAACAAGAGGGATTACAGCACAGCACAAATACAAAGTCCAGGCTTTCCTTTTTAAAGTGTCAACTGTGCATATAAATATATATGTTTCATAAATACTGTATATATTTCAGACTGTCTGTGCCCATCCTCCTCCCCCATTAAAGTAATTTATACACTAAGCATTATGAGTGAATCTATTAATTCCAGTGATTGATCTCTATTTTTAAATTCGTTGGTCAAAAGGTGTGGGATCCCTGAATGTGAAGTTTCAGTCATATAGCAGCATTGCCGCAAACTTATTCTCATGTCCGTCTGGGAATGCATGTTTCTTATGTAATGTGCTTTATACTGCTGTCATGTCAGGGTAGATTCATGTCTTTTCAGGGTTGGTCATCATAAACTAGTAAGATGCTCTGAACTTCAGTATGTCTGATTTCTATGTCAATGCTGATATTTCACACATACAGTGAGTATAAAATGATGTGTTGTGTGATTATAGTAAACACGGGCTCTTATCAAATGTTATTCAGATACCAGAAACTGTATGAGGTCCTGTTTAGTTGAACTGTTGCAAATGTGAAGGTCATATTTTTTTTATCTCTATTATAATGTAATATGTATCTTCTGTTTGTGTTCACAGTAATGACTTCAGTAAGATGGTTGCAGAAGAGTACCTCAAATTCTTTGAGTTTACAGACATGACATTGGACCAATCACTCAGGTACATCTCATTTAATTATTGTGCAGTCATACAGTCACTGTGTGTCTCTGCTATTTGCATAGTCTAAAATGTGGCTCATCTGGTTGTATGTTTACAGCCTTTAAATAATATTTGATGAAATTAAGTTTTTTTAAATTCACACATTTATTAAAAAAAATTATATTTAGACGGATGTAGACAGATTTTTTTTGGGGAAATTCTATTTGGAGAAAAAAAAATATATATATTTGTGAATTAAATAATTTACACATTTTTTTAAAGCCAAGAGATAACAAAAAGTAAGATTATTTATAATACACGAGTGGCATCGTTGCAAAAAAAATATTATTTAATTATCAGAGTTGTAAACTGTAAACATATATTTTTAAGCCACGTTTTAGATATACATTTAAAATAACCTCATAGTAAGTAAATCTTGTGATATATTAAAATATTGCAATTACAAATGCAACCAAAGAATGCTGAACATTATTATGTTGTTTGAATTTTTGAAGTCTTTTTTGAAGTTTTTATTATTGTTATTTTTGGACCACGTCTGATCACAGTTGAGGAGTCATTCTTACCAAAGTTCAGATAATTGCTCAGTGTCCACAAACTTTTTCATTCATGTGAAGTTTCTGGGTCTTTATTTCATCCTATGGTGTGCCCACACACATCATTAATGATTTTGCTGTGATTGGAGAAATTTGTTGGCTCTTTTTGTCTTTTATCTTGTATCTGGACCTGTTACTGGACCCCTGATGAGTCTTCACACACAAGCTACAAGCAAGACGAAGTTCATGGTCATGTTATATTGCTGTTTTTGTGTTGCAGATGTTTTCTGAAAGCATTCTCACTAATGGGCGAGACTCAGGAGAGAGAGCGGGTGTTAATTCATTTCTCTAATCGGTACTATCAGTGTAATCCCACCACCATCACTGCACAAGGTACTGCATGTCTCAACCTTATGTAACCTTTCTCGTTTACTCATTACTTACAAGATAAGCATTTCAGATCAATTGAAGAAGGGATGTAAGGGATCATTATTATCCAGTGGTGGATTAAGTACTTGAGTAAAAGTACAGATATCCTAATAAAACATTACTCCAGTAAAAATATAAGTACTCATTTCAAATTTTACTTTATTTATTTTACTAGTAAAAGTACAAGTACATGATTTTTTTAATGTAGTAAAGCATTTAAAGTAAAATGTAATTTTCTAGCCAGCAGTAGTCAGACGGAAGAAAGCACAGAAGAAAAATAAGCATTGATCTGCAAATAAGACTCTATATATTTGTTTTATATCGCTCTCTCCTATGAGAGAAAGAAAGAGAGTGTGGCATAATTAGGACTGGGCGATATAGCTAAAAAATTTATAAATGATATAATGTTTCATATCGTTCGGTATCGATAATTATTGACATTTCTTTATAACCTTTTTTAAAACAAAGAGCAATAGAAAAAAACTTTTAAATTTAACCACTGTATTTTTAAATTAACCCAATTTATTGAGACAAACAAATATTTTTTAGTTTGAACAGTCAAAAACAAAATTAAAATTAAACAAATATCTAATTTCTAATGTTTTATATGCAGATTAAATAGGTCTTAAGGAACCTTTCGGCTTGTCTCCTGAGGCCACAGGAGGGCGCAATGAGCAAAATAATGCAGCACATATAAATAGTCAACGCAAGGAAATAACGGTCTATAAAAAACGTGCATTATGTCTAAATTAACTAATAAAAATCAAATATAATTTCGTAAATTGCATAAACAATTATGAACAAAACAGCATCATGTATTTATGCATTGCTTAATACAAAGAGCCGAAGCACCATTCACACAGACTGCATTTAAAAACATATGAGAGGCAGTGAAAAGGAATAAACCTCCACGAATTTGTGACATGTTTTCTAAAAGTTTAAACCGTTTTAACATTGCATGGCTTTCTATACATCTCTCATGTGAGACGTGAGTGCAGCAGTCGTATTTGTCCGTCTAAAAAATGCTCTGAATATGCGTTCTGTGTTAATGGCTTGGTTTCAGTTTTAACCTAATCAAGATCTTCTCCGCATTGAGCTTCTATATTTCTCTAATATTTTGAATGAATAACGCAGCAGCGGCGCGTCTCGTGGGCTAGACTTATAACACATTAAAATGCAACAATGTCACTTACATCATTATCACTGCATCTCGCGCGCCACTGATGACGCTGATTGTACTATTTTTGCATTCAAATGCAAATGTTTCTTTTAAATTTGATTAATATAATTTTTTTTATTCACAATCTCCTCATCACAGGCAGACGCTGCACTCAATTCAGCATGTGTTCGTGTTTGTGTGTGCTGTCTGCGTCACTCATAGCACCTGCACTATATCCTGCACTATATCGAACTACTTTTTCTATCGATATCGAAGAAGGTGTACCGTCGATAAATATTGATACCGTTTTATCGCCCAGGCCTAGGTATAATGCAAAAAACATGAAACTAGCTCGGCTAATATTGTCTCAAACAAAAAGGTGCCTGAGGACTGTTTCTGTGTTTAATGCCTTGTCATATAGAAGTTGCTCCATATGAAATCTATAAATAAAACATTTATGGTTTTGCACAACATTAATTTCCTGTTGGATAAAGTCTCTCTTCACTAATTCTCCATGAAACATGATTGGGCTTAATCGCTCATTCAGTATCACAGTGTCGTGTTTCTTCCATAGCAACCAGTTTAGTAACAGCTATGACCAGTATATGGGTAAAAAGCGAAACCATCTCCTTGTTGCTAAGACTGTTGCCATGGAAGTGATGTTAGACTTTCTCCTGATGCATAGATGAATGTGTGTGTGATATCAGAAGTTATGATAAAAAATAATGTTCAGTCTCTTTGACCTGTCTATGAGCCTGTTCACAGTGTGACCGAATGTTTCTTTGACGTTTGCAGATGGAGTTCATTGCCTTACCTGTGCGCTAATGCTGCTCAACTCTGACCTTCATGGCCCAGTAAGTGACCTCTGACCCTCTGCCAGAGTTGCCCGTGTTAACCAGCGAAATGAAGACTGACAGTTTGTTCCGTCTTTGCCAAAAGCACATGAATGCAGTCACCGCTTGTCCTTATCAGAGCATGTTATCGGTGAATCTAATGATCCCTCTGAAGAAGGATATGTCTGGGTCATATTTCACCTCAAAATAAAAAGAAATAAGAAACTAAATGTGCTTAATTGATAATAACTGGTAATTGTAAAAAGTATTTTTGGCGAGGTTGAAATGTTGCCCAGAGATTCACCAACTAGTGAGTAGGATTGGGTATCGTTTGAATTTTATTGATTCCTATTCTTATTGATTCCTATCGATTCCAGTAAGAAAAAATTACTTCAAACATATTTATTCTGTTTTTTTACAAAGTGCTCTGTTGCAGCTGAATCACATGAGCAGCCTACAGAACACTTTTGCCTATGGGTTTAGCAAACAAAATACCACAGCAAAAGCAACTAGACTAGACTAATATAAATTTAAAATATGAAATTGTTAAACACAAGTAAACAGTCAGTAATGAAATGGAAACAAACAAACCAATTAGCAATAGCATGATTAAATACAACTGTACAAATTTCAGGTACAGAAATTGAAATGTAAATATGTAAAAATACTGTAGTTTTTTTTCCCAAAAATAAAATATGGATTATTCCTCATTGAAGTTACAGAAGATATTCAGTGAATGATTTTATTTTGTTCTTTGATTAACATTAATGACAGACAGCATGTTTATTAGGCTGCTGTCTCTTTAACACCGAACACACATGGAATGGATCTAAAAATACTGTTATACTTCACAACCGTTTACGTTCACTTAAGACAAAAAACGGCTGTGTTTATGATGATATACCTAAAGTATAAGATATAAACATGATGGTTCGGTGCATACTTCAGTTTTGATGTCACGGTTCGGTATGGTTTCGGGGCAGCATGGGGAGAAAACTAAACATAAAATTGCTTTTTTTATTTTTTATTAAACAGCGGTTTACTGAACAAATAGCGCTTTCTTTAAATAAATTCAGTTATAATTGAAATTTTCCTAAGAATAATAATTTACCTCAGCTTATGCTCTAAATTATAGGGAGCCCTTTTAAGTTACTGTAAGGTTACAATTAACAACAGAGCCCAAGCTTAAATTTAATTACTATTTATTTTTAAATATAATAATCAATACTCAGCTTAAAAATGTATACAAACATGTAAATTGCACATAATGCAGTTTTTATGATAAAATTTCAGTTTGTTGTTGAAATATAGGCTATTAATTTACACATTGGCTGTTTATTTCTTTTTAACACTTTAACATTTCAGTCATGCTGTCATGTGTTAATGTCTCATCTTTTCTTGTCTTTATCAGCATTTTAATCCATCTTGTAGATGTTCTGGGAACTAAGGTTCGCTTAAAGTGGGAACTAAATATCTTTTCCAACTTGAGAACTATATACAGTCACAAATAATTGTTTATTACACAGAATCTGTACCAATATCATGGACCATATGTCAGCATCACTTGAGTGTAGTTTGGGCTCCTCCTCAATGCATCTTATAAATGTTGTCTATGTGTTTCATCCAGTCTGGTTTTCTTCATTAGTAACATACAATTTTATAGGTGTTGAATTTTATTGCATTGTTTCTTATCATGAAGACAGCAGGTTAAGTAAAAATTGGAATATGCAATATAGCGCATTAATTTAGCAAAAATCAGGATTTAAGGAGTAAAGTGAGATTTGACTCCTGGTTAACTAATGGGTCGTGTTTAGTCACTATTTAGTGTGGAATTTTTCTACAATATTCACTCATGACAGTAAAATAGGGCATTATATGTCAATCTACTGCAGTTTTCCCTCTCTTAGTCAGTAGAAAATGACCGAAAATGGTCATGCATGAAAAAACAAACAAACCGTCATATACTGTGAAACCGGTATATTTTTGAAAAATACCATGATATAAATTTTTGGTCATACCGCCCAGCACTAAAATAGCCTACGTTTTGATGTCTATTCATGTTTATTTCGTACTGTAGTAGTAAAGAGAAAGATAGATGGGTCCACGTGTTGCTTGAACTGAGGTGCTAATCTAAAGCAATCATTCATGCTGCATTAGGGAGCGCCGAAACCGGATTTACTGTTTGAATTTCATTATGAAAAAAGTAAAAAAAGTCGTTCATTAAAAAGTAACATAGCACGAAGCCTTTGCGATTACTGGACAGCAAGTGCACTACAAATAATATGAAGTTCACGCATTAACAGAACACAGCATATAGACTAAGATCTTGATAAAGCCATTGTATCGATTCTAAGTGAGAATTGTTAACGATATTGCCAATATCCACTGTTGTAGTTTGTTCAACTTGTGCGCGAAATAGTCACCTGCACTTGTTCTTCGCACGTCTCCGTCATTTCGATCTCTCATGCTGCACAATGGAGCCGGCTTTCAGCAGTTGTGCCGTCAACTCTGATGTGCGGCAGAGATAAGAACTGTTTGAAACACTTTTTTCCACTAAAACTTTGATGCGCATCGTCTCAGTTTATTATGTCAACATAAACTATGTGATCGCAAAACAATCAGGAAAAAAGATATTACGCACATTTTAAAATCATTACATGTAAATTTAGTCGCTACTGGTGACCTCGGCCAAAACTTGTCTCGCAAATCAATAATTTTGGTCACAAATGCGACCGTTTTAGTCGTAGTCTGGAGCCCTGCGTGAGGCATGAGATGTTCATTCATGTTTATTTCGTGTTAAAACTAACAAAGTTAGTAGTAAAAGAGTAAGGGATGATCACACTGCGGTTTGAACTGAACCGTTTATACGATCTGTCGCAACACATCAAAGAGTGCCAAAACCGCATTTATTGTCTGAATTTCCTGACATTTTTTTTACATAATTTGAAAGATGAGACTTTGTTTTTCAAAAGTAGCAATATATAAAACTGGAAGTTTCCAATGAAGTTGCACTCATGCAGTGGTTAAAACAATGCTGTTCAGTTCACATGCATACCGAACCGAAATACCCTTACTGAAAATTTTCGGTATGAAAACGTGTACCGTTACACCCCTATGATATACTGAAGTGCATAATGGTTGGTAAATGTGAAAGAGAAATCGGTTCGAGAACGGACACATGTTCGGTAAGCTTTACCGAGACTGCTGTTCTCTGCGCTCGCAAGTTATTTCCCCTTCTGCACTTAAATTGTTTAAAATCACATTAAAATGTGAACGCAGGAATCATTGAGTGGAATCGAAATGCACGTGGCTTATCGAATACTCGGTTCTTGGCAACTTTGAACCAGTTCTCGATACCCAAACCTACTAGTGAGTCAAGGATGTTATAAACTTGTTCTTAGATGTTTTGTGTTTGGCTTTATTTTGGATATTATCTGTGATCAAATTTTCAGGGTTAAACCTGTGAAATCTGCATGAATGTGCCTAAATATAAATAGCTCAATTCAAGCAGAGGAGGAAAACAGAAAGAAATTATTCAGATATGTGCCATTAGTAACTACAGTGTAGTGAAGAAGAAGAAAGTTCTGCACCCCCCACCGTTTCCTCAGTGAAATGTGAGGTGCATTCTGGGTTCTCTAAGAATAGCTCCTCTCATTGGTCTCCATGGTGTTTGATCATGTGTCTTGAAACTTACAGGACGCTGTGTTTTGAGTGTGACACGCTCAGTAGAACGCATGTGCCATGGAGACGTAGAGATTTCATGCCCACGCCGCAGCACTCCTCTAGACGCTTTCATTTCAAACGTTGTTTAGTTTCATGTCATGTGGGTGAATACAGCTGAAAGTTGACGCCCACACAAAATACATGGCTGCATTTGTGGAGGGAAGCGTTATGCATATCACACAGGTTATATAGAGACAGAGCAGGTGCTGATGATGGCTAAATCTCATCAAAACCTGTCCTGGCTTGACAAAATGTGAAAGATGAAAGAAGAAATGTATAATTTACATAAAGAAATCAAAAGTTACTTTGTGGAACCAATAAAGACTTCATTAATGCTATGTCTGTTAGCTTTGAGGTCAGCTACTGCATTCCTGAAAGCTGACAAAATAAATGTATAGCAAATAGATGCATTAAAATTGGCAGGAATATGGTCCAGATTTTTGTCCACTTGCAGGCTCTTTTGCTTAACATGCTTAACAGCTGTGTCATAACTGAAGCCTGTTGTCTTTGGTGTGTCCCACCCAAGCGTTCTGTTTCAACAGGACACACACTACCGTTCAAACGTTTGGGGTCAGTACAATTTTTTGATTAATTAAAAAAAACTAAACAATACTTTTATTCAGCAATGATGCATTGAATTGATCAAATGTGACAGTAAAGACTATATTGACTATATTGTTACAGAAAGTTTCTATTTCAGTAAATGATGTTCTTTTGAATTTTCCATTCATGAAAGAATCCTGAAAAAATTAGGTTTAAGCAGCACAATCAGAAATAACAATCAGAAATGTTTCTTGAGCAGCAAATCAGCATATTAGAATGATTTCTGAAGATTATGTGACACTGAAGACTGGAGCAATGATGCTGAAAATTCAGCTGCGCGTCAGAAATAAATTACAGTTTAACATTATAAAAACTAGAATAGTATTTATTTATTTATTTATTGCCAAACACCCTCGTTGTTTGGAATTTTGCTTGGTGAGCTCATCAACAATAATAACAAACATTTAAAATACATACACTATATAAATACATACACATACACAACTATCTATGTCCTATCAATTATAAGGAGTGAAATACAGATGCATAGACACCAGAGGAATTAAGAGCATGAACAATCCTACAATAAGTGCTGTTCAGAAAACGTGTAGACTTAGTTTTAATTGCTCTAAGGGGTCCACAGTATTGCAGTATTACTGTTTTTACTGTATATTTGACTAAATAAATTCAGTCTTAAGTAGAAGAGACTTCTTTCAGAAACAAAAAAACAGCACTTATCAAGCCATATCCTGTGGTCTTTCAGATTTGTTTTTATTGGGACATTTTTTGTGACAAGACAATTAACTGCATTTTCCAGCAA